GGCGAGGATGTCGGATTCCGAAGATTTACGGACTACGTTGAGCCTCGCTACATCGTCCTCAGTCGGAGATATTTTTCCGACGTAACCTTACTCGAGTTACAAGCCGTCGTTTCTGACGTCATTGATAAGCTAATAGCTGATAGCACTTGGGTGAGTTTTACCACAGACATTTATTTGGATGTTGAGTTAGCCCCGTTAGCATGATTAGTCATACGGTACAATGGATAAACAAAAACTTTGAACTTAAAAAGGCTGTCCTTCATGAACAGGAGTGCAGAGGATCCCACACTGCAGCTAGGAACCTGGAAATGCTAATAAATAATATTTAACACTTTTCATTTAATATAAGTTAAAGTGCTATGCATATCATTTGGCTCTTCTTTGTTAAGAAAACAGGTCTCTCTTGTAAATGAGTCCTCGAGGCTCAATGGGATTAACCTGTCTGAATAAAGGTTGAATGAATATGGCTGTCAGCAGCTCTTACAGCTGCTGCACAATTTTTGTAAAAAATAAGCCTAAATAAGAGGGTTATGTTCTGACAAAGGAACGTATATAAAATATCGGTATCAGCATAGGTTATCGGTTAAATAAATTTTAACATATCGGCCAAAAATCCAATATTGTGCATCCCTAGAAAATACGGTAGATAATACTCAATTAGTAATTAGTTGCTCAGGACCTACTAAAGCCCACTTTAAAAAGTCTGAACTATTGAGCTTTAATTTGCCCAATTTCACATTTTTAAAACTGTTTCCTAATCCCAGTCTTCAGAGCATCCTGCCCCGCACATGACTTCAAGAGATTAAACACCCCAACAGCTTGTCTGAGCTCTGCAGAAACCTGGTAACCATTCGATATTTTCAACCAGGTGTGTAAAAACAGAAGGTATACAGGCGCTGTGAGGAATGGGGTGGGCCAGCAGGTTTTAAAGGATGACTGGGAGTAAAGTAAAACACTGCTGCACGATAAATCCACAATAAATATTTATTAGCCAGTTTAAAAAAGGAAAAAAATAAAGAGTTTGTTTTGGGATACTGTTTGTAAGGAACAATTAAAAAAAAAACACAAAAGGCTTTGTAGCTGCAGGGCACGACTTCTGTGAACTGTTTGAGGTATCGTCATGGCAACACGACTATTTGCATAGCTGTAGTTTGCTTTAACGTCCTGAATACAGGGACCTGACCGCAAAGTGCTTCATATGTCTTTGCTGGTCTAAACCTCAAAAGGACGGGGGGTAGAAACCACACCTGCCAAACAAACCTACAACTGACAAAAGGCTAAAGGACGAGAAGTTACTAACGTAATATACATTTTTTACCGATTGCTTTATAATAGTTGTAAATAAAGATGTTTTAAACATTTCTTGATCTTCTTTAAAACGACGGAGGTATCTTCTTATTAGTTTGGGTCTAAACCCACTTCTGTATGATTCTGCAGAGATATGCACTGGTAAGAAAGTTTGAAAGAAAACAGGAAACCTGACATGTGCGAGTAAAGATTCAAATGATCTGTCTGAAGGGAATAGTAAGAACCATTACTCAAGTTTCAGTTCTGTTTGGAAACAAGTTATTGTCCAAACGAGGAACTTTCGCCACTTAGAGAAAGGTTGAAAAGTTAAAAGAAATGACACGCTGTTCCCCCTCACGTCGTTGTTTTAATGGTTTTATTTGTATTCGCTTTAACTGGGCGACCTAATATAAAAACATTGTTTCCTGTTCCAGTTGTCACAAGTATTCAATCCTCTGACTAAATATTTGTTACATTAAAACAATTTTAGAACTGTTGTTAATCCACAGCACAAACGCAGTCGACACAAAAGCGGATTAAAAAGGCAACAGACTGAAACGTGTCCAACATGGAACACTTGTGTTTGTCTGCACCTGCGGCAGACGCCACACGCTTCTTGTTGTTGGTCGCCGGTCGGCAGAAGGTTTTATGTGTCCATAGGATAATCGCACACGCCGGATTGACACTGATGCAAATTCTGAAATGGTCAGCTGCTGCTCTCAGACGAACTTGTATTCAAACATTGCAAATGAGTTTCTGTAGGCAGAAACACGTGACTGGTTGTGTACGCTTGTCTAACCACAGTCACGTTAATGTGTTTTAATCCTTTCTGGTAAAACAGACGAATACTGGAGCTGTTGGTGAGAGGAATCTAACTCTTGCCAAGTGGCTAGGCTAATGACATGTAGGTGTCTTGTTGCACCAAAAAATAAAAGCCCAGCCTTAATCAATGATCATGTCAGCTACACAATGTTTTGGATTGTATAACTTCAGCTAGCAGAAGGATCTCCATTTCGACTACAAGATTTTTTTCGACTAGCGCAATAATTTTAGGTTCTAGAATTGCGCGAGGCTCAATGGAATTGACCTGTATAAAGGTTGAATGTTACTTTTGAATACTTTAATTGGGGACTGCCGTTGCAGATGCAAGAAGTGGAATTAGCAGATGCTTCTGCTGTTTCTTTTCGCTCTGAGAACGCACGTGCTGCTAATGCATGGCAGGCACCTATTATTCTACACCTCGGATGTGAGTCTACATTTCTATCTCTGATAAATCGGCCCGAACCACAATGTCTACCCCCACAAAAGTTATATCAAAACGACTGGCTCGGCCCTGTGATGTGTGCTATTACTTTTATTGGCATTTCGAGTTACCATGGCGACGTAATTTGCGAACAAAGACGCAATGTTTCACCAACTCCAGGAACTAGTTGGTGACTGCCCGCTTATTATTCTACACCTGTAAAGCGTATCTTTTTCAACTTTAATGCGTCCCGAACCGCAACATGGACCCCCACAAAAGTTATATCAAAACGACCGGCCCGGCTCCGGGAAGTGTGCAATTACTTTTATTGGCATTCGCGGTTACCATGGCAACATATTTTGCTAACAAAGATGCCAAATTTCCCATAGGAAATCAATAGGAAAAAACTCTTCACAGAAACTGAATAAGGTCGAGAGCCATTTTGGTTCAACATGCAAGGAAGGCACCTATTATCACCTATTAATATTATTAATTAGTAATAGTAATACTTAACATTAATTATTTATATTAATAATTATTAATATTGATATTAATTATTAATATCAATGATGCATTGTAATATTAATTGTTAACCATATATAAATAATTACTAATATTAATAATTAGTATTGTTATTAATATTTATCATTATTCATATTTGTATTAATACTAATAATTTAATAATAAATAGGCAGTCTTGATTCTAGTTTCCTGTGTGTCAGTTAACTTCATCTTCTTTCAACTTTAATGTGGCCCGAACCACAATGTGTACCCCCCCCCACAAATGTTATATCAAAACGATCAGCTCGGCCCCGTGATGTGTGCTATTACTTTAATTGACCATCAGAGTTACCATGGTGATGTATTTTGATAACAAAGACCCCTAAATTCTTCATAGGAAATGAATGAGAGAACACTCCTCACACTAAAACTGCTGCTGTCAAGTCACATGACAAAGTGAACAGGTCCCTGAAGAAAACAGAAACTAACTGTTGGATTTGTTTGAAACTCACAGAAAGTAATCATCAGATAAATGTCTAGAAATGATTAAGTTGTGGAGCCATTTTGATCCAAGATGGCTGCCACAGCTACCTCAGCAAACACAAAATTGACTATAACTCAGCCATTTTTAGAGATTTTCAGCTGAAATTTGGTACAGTGAGAGCTGAGAGCGAACACAGACACATTTTACTATCAAATCAAGAATTTAAATCAGCAGCAGCCTGGCAGTCCCCGTCAAAGTTTCTCCAGGAACTGTCTAGTGGATTGTTAATACCCACGCTTAAGGCTACAAAACACCTTTGTCTCTGTTCTTTTAATGATGCTGACTGGATGATGTGTATTTGTGGGTCAATAAATGGCTCTAATTAAAGCAGCTGATGGAAACTGTCACAAAAACTGGAGTTTTCTCTCCTTGACGGTGAAGCTTTGGATTGTCTTTGCCGATCAGCATCACTTGTTGCACCTTTAGGCCTGCCTGACATGATCGTCACTGAGAAATGAGAACTGGTTGAGTTTATTCAAATACAAGTTGCTGTTTTGGGGGAACAAAGTCACAAAAACAGCAATTATTTATCATTTATAACTAGACCTGTCACAATAACAAGATTTGCTGGGCGATTAATTGTCTCAGAAATTATTGCGATAAATGATAATATTGTTTGAAATTTGACAATAATTAGTAATTATTGTCCAATTTAAGAAGAAATGTTGGTTAATTAGCTTTGTGTGTAGTACCTCTTTTGACCACTGTATGACAGTATAAGACTGTTTGAAGCGAAGGATGGATAGTGAGGGAGCAAGCACCGTGTCTCTTTAAGAAAAATGGGAGGGAGGCCCCTTGACATGACATGGGCTGTCTGTCTTTCCTTTTTTTTGGTTCTCAAAATGGCGGATGCTTGTGTGGTTTGAGCTCTTTGGCATAACATTTTTCATGCAAAGCTTTTAATAAAAAAAAATCAGTAAACAAGTTCTCAGCTTCTTTTTCAGGGAAAAACAACTTTCTACACAAATGCACGGGTTTCAACCGTGATTTTTGGAGCTTCGACAATATGGAGGTTTTTTTCCTGAGGTCGGTCTTTTGGCTTAGCTTGTAGCTTAGCTTCTCAGCTTAGCTGCTTTTAACCATCCAAAAACACAATTTTGGATGGTTAAAACAGATTTTAAAGAGAAAAGAGAAAGGGAGGGGTCAGTGAAGAGCACCGGAGTTGAGCTTTTTGTCGTCCAGTGTCTTCAGTAGAAAGAGAGAGACACGAAGAAACAATAAAGCCGATAAATGAAAATGAGGTTGACAATTTTCATTTATCATGCGATTAATTGATTTATTGTTTATTGCGACAGGCCTATTTATAACTACATTTATTTTACTGACCACTAACTCAAAGTAGAGAAGCCAGAAATTATTTCAGTTTTGGGACTATCAGCATCTGAAATAAGACCTCCTCTTTCTCGATTCCTCTCCAAGACTTACAGGAATGTTGTGGCGTTCCCTGATGTTGGACCGGAGTATGCAGGACACCACGCAGCAGAAGTCCAGCAGTGGCATGAGGCAGCACCAGCCATAATCACTGGCCGTCTGACACTGCATGCAGGGGAAACACCAAAGAGCACAGCAGCCTGGTGGGCAAACAAACATTTCAACTTACAGTTACTTTCAAGAAACTTACATATCACAGTTTTGTTTTCTCCACTATAACAGCATGATGCTACACAGAACAAGATGGATGACGAATTGTTTCCAGCATCTTGATGAATTTAGGAAATTAAAAATTCAGGCAGTTCTGAAGGAAATGGGCATCCAACCAAGTTCTAGCAAGGTGCACAAAAATTGTCTGTTGTATGTACAAATGTGGAAAAAAAACAAACCAACATATAAAGCAGTAAGTATACTGATAGAGCTTCAATTTCAAGGAAGAAAATATAATTATAATTTATATTATAATATGATATAAATATTTTTTTAAAGCTGCTTTAAAGGTCACAAAGGTGCAGGACTTCAAGTACTTGGGGTCCACTGTCCAGGAAAATGGGGAATGTGGTAAAGAGGTGAAGAAGAGTGTCCATGAGTGATTTGTGACAAAAGGGTGTCAGCAAAGGTCAAAGGAAAAGTTTACAAGACTTATGAGACCAGTTATGTTGGATGGTCTGATTCTGATTCTGGTCTGGAGACAGTGGCATTGACAAAAAAATAAAAAACAGAAGAACTGGAAGTGGCAGAAATGAAGATGTTGAGGAATGACAAGGTTGGATAAGATTAGGAACGAGATCATCAGAGGTAGAGCACAGGTTGAACTGGGAGACAAAGTTAGAGAGGCCAGACTGAGATGGTTGGGACATGTCCAGAGGAGGGACAGTGGGTATACTGGTAGAAGGATGGTAGAAATGCAGCTGCCAGGGAAAAGTCAAAGAGAAAGATGTATGGATTCAGTTAGAGAGGACATGGAGGTAGTTGGAGTGAGAACAAACGAATCTCTCTGACTGTGATAAATAAAGTGGTATGGTATCCATCCATTTTCTTTCTGGGTCGTTTCTGTCTATGTCTAACCATCACTATGTGAGAGGCGGGGGACACCCTGGACAGATCTCCAGTCCATCAAAGGGACACATAGAGACAAACGAGACAACCAAGCATGCACACTCTCAGTCACAAAGAAACACTTTCAAACGTATCATTTATTGGGGACTGTCTATGGCAGCCACTTACTATTATCCACCTTTAAAGGGTCTTACTCTTCTATCAACTTTAATGTGGCTCAAACTACAACGTGTACCCCCACAAATGTTTTATCAAAACGACCGGCTCGGCGTTGTGACGTGTGCACTTACTTTTAGTGGGGTTTTGAGTTGCCATGGCGACGTAATTTGCAAATACAGATGCAATTTCTCTATTTGAAAAACACTCAAACACATCAAAACTACACAGTGACCAGAGTCTGTGGCAAAGAGAATGTCGCTGAGAACTTTCCACAGTGTTGACTCAGTACTGTGGTGAGTTTAAAAACTGGACTGAAACAGTTCAAGAAGGTGGTGGTTGTTTAAGTAAGACGTTAACTGGCTGTACACGATTTTCTCCAAGATCTTCGACACGAAGGGCGGTTTTGAAATTGGCCTAAAACTGGACATGTCTGTGGAGTCAAGACCGGGTTTGAACACACGATGTAAACAACAGGACGAAGCTCACGTTTGTATCGTGTTTCTTTTGCAGCCCAACAACCACCAGCAGCAGCAAAAGTGACAACGCAAACTGGGCAGAACAGGATTTGCATCCACTTTTAATGTCTTGGTTTAATGAGCTGCTGACGGGTGGAGTCTGCCACTAAAGACAAACAAAATGATGCAGCAAACCACAAAGATCTCATGACTTGGGAAATATTACCTGGCTCAGAAAGCAGCACACACACCATTTAAGTCACCAAACCCTTGTTTATATTGCTATATTTAAGTTTAATATTGAAATCTGAAGATATGTGCAACAAACTAGTGAAACTGACACTTTCACAAAAAGACAATTGTGATTTTATGGATTAAAAAAACAAGTTAAATGCCACGCCTTTGCTATAATCATCAGGTCCTGTTTTTAAAAACACATTTACCCAATGTGAGTCGGTTTAGTGTATTTTGTATGTTCCCTATTTACTTTCTTCTGATTTTTATATTTTGTTTTACAATTAATTAGTTTATATTGGTTTTATTTCTGTCTTTGACTTGTTTTACTGTTGTGCAGCACTTTACAACTTCTTGTTTATGTGTTTTATAAATAAACATCTTTCAGTGTTAAGACTCAAACAGGCTGCGCGCGCTCATCTAAGCTTTTAGAAATGAAGTGAGCATCGAGGCGTGGAGAACTCACCTCAGCAGGGTTAACTTGGAGCTTGAGCACATTAAACGTGTGACGCACGTCTCCCTCGGATGTTTTTAAACCACGAGTTAACTCAGTTTTTATATCATTGATTAAAATTCTAGACTTTAGCATTAACATATCTCTGTATTTTCCAAACTTACACTGTGGAAAAAAAAAATTAAATTAATTATTAAGATAGATTTGTTGTTTTGTGTGCCCTAAAATAGGTTCAGGCTGCAACGAAACGTTGCAACATTAGTCCCACCTGCTGCATGTTCTGGCCCGGAGAGAAAAATGATCCATTGAGCAGCAAAGACAAACAAACAACAACAAAAAAACATCTAACAGATGAACAGGGTTAAACTTTGTTGCTTAGGCTTTAAGCAAAGATCTTGTATAAATAGCACGTATTGTGACTGACTCAGCTACAACCACACCAAACTTGGGGAACGTAAGTTTTCTCCGGGTACTCCGGTTTCCTCCCACAGACCAAAAACATGCATGTTAGGCTGATTGGTAACTCTAAATTGTCCCTAGGTGTGAGTGAGAGAGTGAATGGTTGTTTGTCTCGTTTGTCTCTTTGTGTCCCTGTGATGGACTGGAGACCTGTCCAGGGTGTCCCCCACCCCTCGCACAGTGATTGCTGGACATGGGCACCAGCAATGCCCGTGACCCAAAATGGAAGAAGCGGGGAAAAAAATTGGTATTGGTATCAGTTATCGGCCAAATAAGTTTGAACACATCGGATATTGGCCAAAAATCCAATATTGTGCATCCCTAATTGTTTGTCTCAATGTGTTCCTGTTATGGACTGGAGACCTGTCCAGGGTGTACCCCGCCTCTTGAAAAAGTGACTGCTAAATATGGGCACCAGTGACCCCCCACGACCCCCAAAAAAAAGAAAAAATGGGTAAAGATAATGGATGGATGTCCTAAAGAGCTAGAAACAGGAACTTAGTCGCTGATCCTCCATAGAAGAACTTTAGGGATGGCAGGCCATGCATTATTTGTGTTCTGTGCCCTTTAGTGAAGGTCTTTTGTTTGGATTAAGGCATTCCCTATTAATTAAGGCTTCCCTATTTTACTACAGATGAACTGTTCATGTTGCCATATCTTTTGAAATAAAACTGCAGAACACAAAGTAATCTAAAAAGGAATGGGTAGAAGATCAAATAAAATTCAATGTATTTGCTAAAGACTAAATGAAGAAAAAAAAAATGGGAGCGGTCCAGGAGCGGGAGTCATTTTACCAGGAGTGGGATGGGACAAAAAAGATTTTGTGGGAGTGGGACAGGACAGGAGTGAAAATGCACTCCCTTGTCACCCTTTACTCTTATCATGCCTGTGATGCTGGTGAAACATTTTCACCAGTGATCAGTTAACAGTCTGCATTCACCAACATTTTCACCACACAGAGCATCTCTGTGTTGATGTTGGGAATTGACTCCAGAGCCTCCTACTTGAAAATGTATTGAGAAGGCTGATTTCATCAAAAAGAAATTCTCAGCAAACTCTTACACAGACATATGTGTTGTTTATTAATCTGCCGCAGCATGTTTCAGGCTTTTTAATGTTGTGTGTTGTTGGTTTGACAACAAAGTATGTGTCGATCACAGAACAACCATGTGATTGAATAAAAGTTGGGTCTAGGCCTGTCACGATAACATATTTTGCCGGGCGATTGTCTCAGAAATTATTGTGATAAACAATAATATTGTTTGAAATTGGACAATAATTAGTAATTGTCAAATGTAAGAAGATATGTTGGTTAATTTTTGTGTGTATTACCTTTTTTGACCACCGGATGGCAGTATAAGACTGTCTGAACCGAAGGATGGATACTGAGCGAGCGAGCAGCGTGTCTCTTTAAGAAAAATGGGAGGGAGGCCCCTTGACGTGACATGGGCTGTCTCTCGTTCCTGTTTTTTTGGTTCTCAAAATGGCGGACGCTCGGTGTGGTTTGAGCTCATTAGCATAGCATTTTTCACACAAAACTTTTAATAAAAAATCAGTAAACAAGTTCTCAGCTTCGTTTTGCAGAGAAAAACAACTTTTTACACGAAGGCACGAGTTTCAACTGTGAATTTTGGAGCTCCACAAGACGGAGGTTTTTTCCCCAAGGTCGGCCTGTTAGCTTAGCTCGTAGCTTAGCTGCTTTTAACGATCCAAAAACGCGATTTTGGCTCGTTAAAATGGATTTTAAAGAGAAAGGGAGGGGTCAGTGAAGAGCACCGGAGTTGAGCTTTTTGTCATCCAGTGTCTTCAATAGAGAGAGACAAGAAGAAACGATAAAGCCCATAAATGAAAATGAGATAGATAATTTTCATTTATCATGCGATTAATTGATATATTGTTTATCGCGACAGGCCTAGTTGGGTCGACTTACAGGTGCCCATATCAGAGCAGCAGTCGCAGAGGCCGGTGCTCCAGTTCCCAACACCATGAGTGGCGGAGGAGACCATCACCACCTGAGTTGGCTGATGTTGGACCGCCATGACAGAAGAATACGGGGTTGACGTGAAGGCTCTGGAAAAATAATAAAATAAAAATAGCAAAGCTTATTTTTCACCATACCAGGTTGACCATAAAAACCAAACTGAGGTGTTAAGAGCTGTGAGTTTCACACTTTGTCATCAAACATCCTTCCTTCACAAACAGAACATGTGAAACCAGCTCACACATTTTATCACAGCTGACGTTCATCATACAGCTTCACACTTTTCATAAAATATGGTTTATACACAAACATGACTGGGTTTTGTTCTGAACACGTTTGTCCGTCCCTTATGGTAGCTTTGCACATCAACTATTTTTAATTAACAGTTACTTGACTCGTTTTTTTTTTTAAATGCCACAAGTAAGCCTTTGATCTTTACTGCTACCAAATGCAGATGCCAAAAAGGGGCTGAAAATTATGCTTGGATTATGTTTAATATCAAATTTTGTCACTGGGTTGTCATTCAAAAACAGCTCCTATTTTATAAATGTGCGTGTAAAAGTATAAAAACAGCGACTTTTATATCGTTGAGTTATTTTGATGGAATGGCAGATATGCGATATTTAACTTTAACGCAAATATCGGCCGATACGATACTTTGCCGATAATATCGTGCATCCCTAATTTTTTCAATTTTATTTATATTCACTATTATTTCAGAATGGGTCTTCTTAATTTTAAGGTAATTTTACCATTGTCCTAACTAATATTGTACTGGTGGTGGTAAAAATACAAACATATTAAGTTTTGTTGGGTTTTTTTGCACTCAGTACTTCAGTTTTACCAATACTATAGTCACTATAATACTGGTATTATTACATACTTAGTATCAGTATACACTGCAGTGTAGTGTGTACTGATACTAAGTAGGTAATAAACAAGCACTTAAGCATTACAGTGACTTTATAAACATGTTTTTTATTAAGAACACAGCAAACAGTCTGCTGTATAGGATTATATAGATTTACTTCCCTTTTTTTAATGCTTGAATTTCCTTTTATTTGTGGATTCTGAGGATTTTGCTTCCTCTATTTATTTTTCACACCTGCCAGGTGTACTGTCACTCATCCAGGTATTTGGAGCCTAAGGCCAGAGTTTTAATGTTCACTGAACCACCCATTAGTTTAACTAGATGACCCGTGGTGTCGTGCAATGAACAAATGTCTCATCAGTGAATCACTTCCCTTGTTACAGCAGCTAGTTGGTGCCGCTACGTCCAGTTTAAATATTGATCAAACGTTGGTCACATGTAACCAGAACTCATTAATGAATCAATGCCACCTCTGCAGTATTTAATCTAATAAAGAGTTTATCCATCGTAGTTTTGATTGGATGATTTTTTTTTTTTATCTCTTTTTATCAGAACAACTAAACTTGCTGTGTTACATTAAAACTTTACAGTTGTGTCCAAAACAAACTACAGATTGTGGCTAATGATGAAAAATGGTTGATACTGTCCCAGGTTGACAACATTTCTGCTTTACATGATGATATTCAATCCAAGACACATTAGAAACGTCATGAACATAAACTACTTAAATTTCCTTTGACTTGAACGCTGAAATGTAATTTACATTTTACTATGAGAACGTGTCAGATCCAAGTGCAGCCTTGAAGTAACCACTAATAAAAACGAGAGGTGTGAAACTACTGGTTCAAAATAAATTGCGTAATTTTTCTCGCGTCTCAAATGCGTCATTTTAGTATTTTTTTTAACATATTTCAGCAAAAACATCTTTACCCTTATTGTACAAAAGTGTCAGAAGAATGGTGTATTTGGTGAATTAAAGCCATCAGATGGCTGAAAATCGATATTTCTCATTAAAAACACACAAACCATGGAGTTTGGTGGAAGTTATGAACAAGCTGCATTAAATTAACCTGTTCCTCCAAAATGAAGTCATTCAAAGAGCTTTCTGCTGCAGGTAAGATATTTACTGCTCATAACTTTTACACAGTTACATATAAATTAGATATATCTATTTATAGCTATATAACAGATAAAAATAGTTTTGTTAAGACCATAACTGAGTATATACCGTATAGATATGAGTAAGAAGATTTATAAGAAATAAAATAAACAGGGGTTCATAAAGTGAACAACTAGCTAACTGTAAAAACTTTATTAGCTAATTAGCTTAAACAGGTGAACAGAGCGGATTAAAATGGAAGAATAAGCTTTATACACGATATAATAATTATAAATTTAAAGTTATAGGAAGAAACTAATATTTGTAAGTAAAATGTAATGAATATTTGCTTATGACAGCCAATTCATTACAACTTTTACTAAACACGTGCGCTGTAGGATAATTAGCAATTGACACATTACAGAGCTCCATGTGGATTTAAAGTCAAATAATTATTTAGTGTGTCAAATAAACTTGAACAAAATGCACTTAAAGTTGCTGCAATAAAAGCATCTTTATCCGACAAATGCAGTTGTTCTTACCTGGAATACGCTGAAGAGAAATACAGCAGGTGAAACGTGGACAGCTCGTTTAAAACGTGGAGAGAAATACATATATATATAAAAAAAAAATTTTTTAAAAAGTGAGGTGGCGCCACAACCAGGGGGCCCACTGCAGAGAGACTTTAGCGACCCCGCGCGGCTGTCCTGAGTATTACACATCAAGCACTGACGGGAACTACAGGCGTGCATGGAGTTCATGAATGCAAAAAAATAATAATAATAATAATTAAAAAAAAAAAATATATATATATATAATAAAAATAAATTTAAGAAGAGTTCATGAATGCATATCACCCGCCGCCTTTCATGTGGGAGAGTTAGACTAAATTCATCTCGTGTTGAAAAATGACAAAGTTGTAACTCCATCTTCATCTAGAGCAGGGGTGGGCGATTATTTTTTCCATGGGGCCACATGAGAAACAACAAATATTGTGGAGGGCTGGCACAAATGACTTTTTCATTCAACCTTTATTTAGACAGGTAAATCCCATTGAGCCTCGAGGACTCATTTACAAGAGAGACCTGATGTCAACTTAACTCAATACTGCATAATATTAGTATTTCATTATTAAAAGCAGTACATAGCATGGTTTTAACAAGCTGGTTAGAGTATTTGTTATGATTAAGCAACGAAAAAGCGAGGTTTCTTTACAAAAAAATGTCATTTATTCAATTAAATTTCCCAGTACAATGGTAAACTGAACATTTTTACCATTTGTGACGTTATATTAGTGATCATTTTCAGTCACATTCACCCCAAAACTCATTTTGAGTTGTATATACTGCTGGAAAAACTTTGTAAATATATCACAATATTGTCTTTGTACTCCAAATATTATGAAACATCATATAATAGTGATCGTCACTGAACTGTGATTTCAAGTCCCGGTTCTTTACGTGCCTACATTTGTAGTCTAAACATCTCATTTGGTGTTTTTCAGTTCTTTTTTCTTGTTTAGTGAGAGAAGTCTAGTCTCTGTTGGGCTTTAACGGAAATGTTAAAGTCAGGTTTGAAGGTCTGAGGTGGAGATGTGAAGCAAAGCTGACATCATCAGTGAGAGAGGATCTATATCTGGATTTGGTTAACTTCATTTGTTTACATATGTATTTTGTAATTCCCCTTACAGGGGCCGGTCAGAGTCAACCAAAGGGCCGCATGTGGCCCTGGGGCCGTACAATGCCCAAGTCTGATCTAGAGCTTATCTGTAATCAGGTCACGGAGGCAACAGGTCCAGGTGGCAAACCCAGACCCCCCGTCTTTCCAGCTCCTTCTGGTGGGTCTCAAGTTCCCAAACCAGAAAGAATATTCATTCAACCTTTATTTAGACTGGTTAGTCCCGTTGAGCCTCGAGGACTCTTTTACGAGAGAGACCTGATTTCAACAGAGAGTGACGGCAACAATAGATAAAAGAGGCGTACAGATTTATTTATTTATTTTCAAATTATAATAAGATGGTTAAAAAAAAAAAGTAGCAAAATTCTAAGGTGAATGTAGGAAAACTAAAAACAGGAACATGTCTGCATTGGTCCCTGCCAGGAGTCCAACAGATTCTTAAAGCCACTTAGAGAGGTCAAGGTCGAGAGCTTCAGATCTTTTTGTAAGATGTTCCAGGAAACAGGAGCGGAGTAGGAGAAGGACATTTTGCCTAATTCAGTTTGCACTGAGGGAACACTGCAGGTAATAATGTCCTGAGAGCGCACGCTGTAGCTGCACTCACGCAGAGACATGTAGAGGAGATGTATGAAGGCAGCAGACCAAGAAGTGATTTAAAGATGAAAATGTACCAGTGAGAGAGTCTGCGTGAAGTTAATGATGTCCAGTTAACCAGTGAATACACGGTGCAGTGGTGGGTACGATAATCACAGCCAGTTATGAATCTTAGTGCACCATGATAGACAGCATCCAACATCTGCAGGGTGCTTGTAGGAGCGTTCATGTAAATAATATCACCAAAATCAATGGAGGGAAGGAAAGTCACAGATACAAGGCGTTTAGCATTCAGGGTTAGACAGGATCTGTTTCTGAAAAAGAAACCCAGTTTAACTTTCAGTTTCTTTACCAGGTTTTCCACGTGAAGCTTAAAAGAGAGATGCGAGTCGACCAAGATACTCAAATATTTAGATAAATAAATAAATATTTGAGATAAATTAAGCAAATCCAAAATGGGGATATTAATTAGGTGTGTCCTCACCCTCAAGATGTCCATCATTTACAAGCAGGAAATTATCTTCATCGATCGATGCAATGGATAATACTGATCGTAATGATAAGACATACATCAAAGAATCCAAGTTTCTGTAGGAAGAATGATTAAATAAGCGTCAACAAATATTTGTATTGTTATTATTGTATTGTTATTATTGAATTAGAAACAGTTGTGTTTCAATTCATTTTTTGTTCTTTACTGTCAGAAAACGTTAACAAAAATTTATCAGCAGCGTTTGTTAGTATCTATCACAGATTAGGTCTGAGCAGAGGTCTAATCTGGCAGATTAGTGTGTTACACCCTCCCACCAGCAGGGGGCAGAAGCACTCTGTCAAACACTACAATAAAACTTTCTCTTTTGTTTTAGCAGAAATAACCATTTCATATTTAATTTTGTTTTATTTATCATTTACTAAGTGTTTTGAGTGGCCTTTCACCCAGTTATAAATAAATTGGTAAAAAATGAGCTGCCTCAGGTGGAGGAGTTCAAGTATCTGGGTTTCTTGTTCATGAGTGATGGTAGGATGGATTGACATATCTGGGCCTCGTCCTCAACAATGAGGACGTTGCTTTGGTCCGTCATGGTGAAGAAAAAGCTGACTTGAAAGGCAAAGTTCTTGATTTAATGGTCTGTCTAGTGTCCAACCCTCACTTGTGGTCATGAGGTTTGGATCAACATGAGACAGATCTGGTTGGCAGGCCGTAGACTGAAGAAGTCCTCTGGATGGTGGACAAAACATTTCTCATTTAAAGAAACTGGTCCAGATGGCACGATTTAATCTTTTTTGTTGTTACTTCCCGTTTACCGTATTTTCTGGCGTATAAGTCACAGTTTTGTTTTTTTTGCATAGATTTGCCAGTTCAGCGACTTATACGCCAAACTGACTTTTTTCATATTCGTAATGCAATTTTTGTCTGATGCTTTAAATGTTCATTCATACTGACATGAACCAGAGTAAACATACATTTTTGCAGCCACTAGAAGCGTGAGAGGGCCCTCTAGGCTTTTGGTAACTACTGGTAGGCGTATGTGCTGTTCCTGTACCGCTACCCCAACTACCCCTCGCCAAACATTGACCATTAAAGTGCATTTATTAATGAAAAAGTTAAACTGAGACACACGTTTGCTATAATGTCGAGCAAACAAATAATTGTTTTTAAGTGTTAACCTTGTTAAATTTTGAAGAACTGCAGCAGCAAGTCCTCCCGTGCGCACTCCGGCGGCCGGCAATTGACGTTTGGCAGCCACTCGATTTTTGACACAACACAAGCCCACATTTCCGAGGAGTCAGCGGTGACGCACAATAAACACGTCTTATACACGGAAACGATGTATGTATGTTTTTTTTCCTCTTCATTATGCTTTTTTTTTGACTGATGCGACTTATACGCAGGAAAATACAATATTTTTTTATGGAATAAACTTTATTCCACCCTCTAAATGCTCAGTGTAACACGTGTCTGAATTGGACGTTCCCCACTGACAATGTTTGATCATTTTTCTAGGGATGCACGATATTATCGGCATGGTATCGGTATTGGCCGATATTTCTGGTAAAGTTAAATATCGGACATCGGTCATTCCATCAAAATCACTCACCGATATAAAAGGCGATGTTTTTGTATGACAACCCAGTGACAAGGACGCCTGCAGCGCCAGCACAACGTGATGACGTCACACGCACCTACCTGATCTCACGGCGGAGAAAAAGATTCAAAATGTCGGCGTGTGGAAGGTTTTTTTTGTTAAGGATGACAGATTCCGAAGATTTATGGACTACGTTGAGCCTCGCTACATCGTCCCCAGTCTGAGATATTTTTTCGATGTAACGTTACCCGAGTTACAAGCCGTCATTTCCGACGTCATTGAGAAGCTAATAGCCGATAGCACTTGGGTGAGTTTTACCACAGACATCTGGACGTCGTGTTAGCCCTGTTAGCATGATTAGTCTTACGGCGCAATGGATAGACAAAAACTTTGAACTTAAAAAGTCTGTCCTTCATGCACAAGAGTGCAGAGGATCCCACACCGCAGCTGAACCTGGAACAAGCCCCCACCAGTTAGTGAGATAGCGCCGCAGCTGACTAACGCTAATAAATAACATTTAACACTTTTCATTTAATACAAGTTAAAGTGTGTGGAATTTCAGGTTTATCTTTCAGTATTATTTTAATCAAGTTTAAAATGATTTCAGGTTTTATCCTTCAGTATTATTTTAATCAAGTTTGA